ATCACGATGCTTCTCCCCATTCGCACTCGCCCCCTCCGGCCTTGGCTCAATGTTGGGCTGGCTGTGGCGTCAAAAAACAAACCTGGAGAGGCCGCAGAAGGGGTCCCATGATGTCCCTGGCTGGCCCGAATGAGGCCTCCAAGAGGCCCAAGAGGAGCCCCACTATTGCCTAATCTTGTATCCAAGATCGTCCCATACGATCCCCAAAGACGCATTCACATAATACGTGCTCTCAATCGTGATGTATCGTCGCCCAGTTCAGCCTCAACTGGCTGTTCGAGGCCACCATGATGGGACAACATGACTCGAGAGGCCCTCAGAGACGACCCCAAGAATACCCAAGCTAAGCCAACAAGGCTTCCCAACTTGGCCAAGATGGCCGAAGGAGTCCGCAATACAGTCAACCAGTATAGTAAGGATGCGCGATAAGGATGCAAGGGCCTTGGACGCCCATTTCGAAGCTTTTCGAGCGGGGCGCGGCCAGCGAAAGCAGCGAAGGATGGACTGAGGAGGCAAGGATGCAATGGTACCCTTGGGAAGGTTGCCCATCCTTACTATGTGGGTTGACTGTACTACAATACTGCTTCTAGTAGCCAATGTTAAGCCAAAGAAACCTTCTCAAAGGCCCCGGTCGACTCCTGGACCGGGAATCGTCGGGTGTGTTACGGAGATGGTCGGGTTAAGTCGGGCCTGTCCCCCTACAGGGCGAGTTTGGGCGAAAAATAAAATACTCAAACATATCCCCAAAACATTCAAAAATAGTAAAAAAATACTCCCCAGACTATTTTTCAACTATTTTTGAATATCCCTCCTGTAGGGGGACAGGCCCGACTGAATGGTCGGGGGCTCCATGCAACACTCCTTCTGCGGGCTCGTCGGAGGCCCTCTGCAGCCCACTCGAGGCCCTCCTGCCAGGGGTCCTCTCTTGGAGCCCTGCTGGGGGCCTCCCTTGGAGCCCTCTGGGACAGCGACGGCAAGCTTCAGCAATTTCAGAGCCGAGCTGGGCCGCCTTGCGGCCGTGGGCCTGTTCTGGTGCAGTTGCCGGTCACTGCGCAGATGGAGCGACCCGGCTGATGACGTGATCGCTGGTGCGCTTTTTGGCCACATGACAAGTCACGGCCAGCCTTGTTGGGCTCATGCCCTTCTGACCCCTCGTCCAGATTCACTCCTGCTGGCCCTCCCTGCCCTCCTCCCCCACCCCCTCCTCATACCCTGTTCTCCTCCTTCCACTATCCCTCTCCAATCCCCTCGCCCTCCACATTCCTCCTCCTTCTCCTACCCCCCTCCTCCTCCTCCTCCTCCTCCTCCTCCTCCTCCTCCTCCTCCTCCTCCTCCTCCTCCTCCGTCCCTCCTCCTTATCCCCCTCCTCCTTCCCTCCTCCTCCTCCGCATCCTCCTCATCCTCCTCCTACTCCTCCTCCTTCTCCTTCCCCACACCCTCCTCCTCCCACTCCTCGACCCTCCATATCCTACCCCTTCCCGCATCCTTTATCCCCTTTCTTCTCCTCCTCCCTCTCCTCATCCTACTCCTCCTCCTCCTCCTCCCATCTCCTGCCTCATCCTACTCCTTCCTCCTCCTCCTCCTCCTCTCTCCTCCTCATGCTCCTGCTCCCTCTCCTCCTCTCCTCCCCTTCCGCCATCCTCCTCCTCCCTCCTCCTCCTCCTCCTCCTCCCCCTCCTCCCCTCCCTCACATCCTCCTCCTCCTCCTCCTCCTCCTCCTCCTCCTCGTCCTACCCCTTCACGTGCGCTCTGGAGCGTGCCAGGACATCCTGGGTGGACATCCTCGTGCATCCCATCGTTTTTTGGGGGGGGGCTGGCGCAGCGGAAAGGCGCAAGCCTCCCAAATAGAACAAGTCCACTGCCCGGCCGAAGAACGTGCCGGAAGTGGTGCCTGAGGCGTCGGAGAGGTCCACTTTGAAAAACTGCCCCTGGGCGGTGGGCTCGTATTAGGCCCCCGCTGGCTTGGCCATCGCGGATACGTGCTCTCGAGCCATCCTGTCCCCAGGCAGTCGTGCCTAAAATGAGTAGAGTGATCACGCAGGGATCCTGGATTCAGTGGTAAGCGATGTACTGTTGCGGATGGTGTGTGAAGCGGTGCAAGCACCCTGTGAATGTGAGCACTGGTTCGCACTTACAATAGATGTTGCTCTCATCGGCACTGCTCCTACTCCCGCGCTTTTCAGCGATCCAGGCTGTGATCCAGGCAGTTTTTGCAGCCACTCTTTGCTCCAGAAACTGTGAAGGTATATCACAACTGTGGTCTGGCTACCGCGGCTGGGTGGCAGATCTAACCATCGCGCCAAAAAGAATTTAATTTGTGGTTCGGAAGTCTACGTCATAGCCTATCCTTCTTCCTGGCACGCTCAGGAAGCTGCATTGCTTCAGTGTCCAGTTTTGCCAGAGCCAGCATCCAAAGAAGCTACAATCATGGGGTCTGCCGATGTCCTGAGGATACTTGGTGCCCGTTTCGCAGCCCCTGGATTCGGGGACATGTTCGCTCGAGGGCGCTCGCCCGCGATGGTCAAACCAGCAGAGACCAAGCCGACACCGTAGGCCTCACCCCTGGCATTCGTAAACTTCCGGACATCCGTCTTGCTCAGCACGCGGCACTTGATGCGCCATCGTCCATTGGTGTACGGCGACAAGCTGCCGACGGGCAAGAAGTTGCCCTGCGTCGGCGACTTAGCGTACGAGGGGACCTCTTATCCGATCACATCTCCCAATCGCGCGACGTCATCACAGCCCATGTGGCTCCGCTGCCTAGAAGATAAAGCCATCTGATGCAAGCAGGCTGTGAAGACCCAGCGTTCTCAAACAGTGGTCTGGCAATGACGGCCTACAGGTGAGATATGATGACACATCTGCAGTTTAGTAGCATGTCCTGACAGAGAAGTCTGGCTGAGAAGTGAGAAG